GAAGAGATCATTCGTCAGCTTCAACAGAGTATTGCGGCCGTGGATAGGGCACTTTTGCGAATTTCCCGCCTTGAACGGGAATCCAGACGTTTGGAGAGATCAAACATTCTTTTGGTTCGCGCTCTTAGGGAAAGTCAGCAGAACTATTCATTGCTTGCACGTCGTGTGGCCGCTCTGGAAGTAGCGGGACTGTGAAAGCTTCAGCTCGTGTGTGTCATCTGCCGGGGCCATGCAACCACCTGTTGCGCCAGACCATAGGTCTTTTTCGAAGACTAAAGCATCTGCACCTCCCCTGCCGTGTGGAACTCCTCTGCCTGTGCCTGCACCGAAATGCTCCCCTAAAGCTCCCCCCCTGCCGCCTTCAGGCCTGGCCTTGCCGGGATTATCTGCGGTACGTGTCCCAGAGCCTCTGCCTGCGGCAGGGCCCCCGTTGGAAGTGCCGGCGTTTTCGCCTTGCCCTGGACCCTCTGCTAGTGTCGGTGCCACTTCGAAGGCTTCAGGTCCACTTCAGCTGGGGGTTTCTTCTTCGGGTTTGAAACGCACTCTTTCCGCGGAGCCTGTCGGTGTAGTGCGTGCCACACAGAAGAGTCGAGGCAGTGCTTCTTCTGTCATTCCTCCGAAGTACAGACACAACGCAGGCTACAGTACGGTTGCGCTCTCACTTTTCTGTTCTGCGCTTGAAGTGCTAGGAGCGTTCAGTGCTTTGTATCAGCAGTTGGAGCATTCCATGCACTCTGAAGCGCACATCCGGCGGATCCTGGCAGGATTCTCAGTGAACACTGTGCTTCGATATCTGTCTGCATGGTCTCATTTCTTGGTGAATCTTGAAGGGCTCGGTCATACGCTTCAGTTTCTCGACGGTGTAGTCATGGCTGATATCTTGGTTACAATGACTCTTGAGAAGCACGGTGATCCGACGTTGGGTGCTGGTACCCACATGACTATAAAAGCTCTGCGGTGGTTGTGCAGGATTGGCCAAGCTGAGCTTCTTCGGTGTGCTTATGATAAAGTCATTGATTCATTTTTGAAGACCAAGATTCCATCGGAACGTCGGGAGAGCTTCCCGCTACCGTTATTCGTTATCCAACTCTGGGAGAGACGGATCCTTATGAGGCAGTCCAGCATTCAAGAAGTCATAGTGCTAGGCGCTTTCTTGTGTGCAGCGTGGGCCTCATTGCGCTTTGCGGACATGCAGCGAGTCGAGTGGTCAAGTTTGGTATTTGATTTACACACTTTGAGGGGTACCTGTTACCAAACAAAGACCTGCGCTACTGGGCAACCCTTCGGGCTCTTGGCTTCAGGCATTCTTTCGAGAGGCACTCACACATGGATGAGTAAATATTTGCACGCACCTTTCCATGGGTCTTCAAATCGATGTCCCGGAGACTGACAAGCGTCGCCAAGGACATCATCGGATCACAAGCTCTGAATTGTATAGTCGGGACGACATTCACGGTATGATTAGGTGCCAAACAAGCATTCGGGACGGCGCCCGCCAAGGCTATGAGTTTGTGGTTCCTTTGCATCGCGGGGGCCAGATGCCGGTTAAGCCTTATAGAGCGCCGTTGGAGTCTTTTAACAAGGCCTACGAGTTCGAGCCTTTCTTGTGGTTCAATTTCCTGCTTGATGCATCGGGCGGCTCTTTGCAGGGCAGTGATCAGTCTTGGGAGTTTCCGGAGCTGCCAGCTTCTTCGGATTCAGGGCCAGAGCCTGATCAAACAACTGGGTACCAATCAGATCCTGGTAGCTCGGAGGATGAGGATGAGGACCAGTGTGATGACACGGTTGAGTCGTTGGGCACCGCTGAAGAGTTTCTGCTGGGTTCCACAACCGGTATTCTGCATGTGCTATCGCCATGCTCTGAGAGTGACGGCATCTTCGTTCAGGGACAGTACGTGCGTGCGATTTGTGGTGCCCCACTTTGCCCTGACAGGTTACGCATTCACACATTTGTCCCATCCTCAAGCAGATTGTGCCGTAGGAGTGCCTGTTTGCTAGCGCTGTCCACCATTGAATGAGGTTATGAGCCGTACGGGGTTATGAAAAAATGGGCGGGGCGACTGATGCCCGTACAACACATCGTGACTCATGCTGTTGCTGAGCTGCTGTTTGCTTGCATGCGAGCGGTAGGTAAATACCAACGTGCATGGGCTGTTCCTCGCCGCGCGCAGCAGGGACTGAAATCACGTGTCGTTTGACACTGTTTCACACCGTTTGATCCTCTAGCGGTATTGCTTAGGCAGTTACTGTCTGTCTTGTGTCCTTCCGATGGCCGATGCTCTGAAGGCTGCCTTGACCTCTGAGGGGATCCCTGAGGACGTCATTCAGGTCGCCATTGATGGTGGGTGGACGGCATCGGCTTTCAAGAATTCGGTTGAGACCCAAGCGGAGTTGGAAGCCATCCTGGATGATTTTTTTCCGGGTGTTGTTCTGACTAGACTGCAAAAATCGCAGATTCGAGCGGTTTGGGCCAGCATGCAAGCACCAGCAGCATCAATTTCTCCTTCGACGACGGCCGCATCCCCAGCTGCTGACGGGAGTTGGGTTGAAAGCTTCGCTCCAAAGATGTCATCATCTAAGTTGTCTGAGCTGAAGCAGCAGTTTCTCAAATCATATCCGAGTGAGATTCTTACGCCATCAACACTGCCATCATTGCGGTTGTTGTCATTGGCAGCTCACCAGGAAGCTAAGCATGAGTACAAGTGGATACCATGGAAGCTTCGCATGTCAGATGAGAGGGCCTCTGAGTTGCTCATCTCCCGCCCAGCCAAACAGCCCCGGTTGGAAATGTTAGGATTGCCCAGTCTCATTTTGGACGAACCACCGTCCATCGAGATTAGTGACGGCACCATGGGGGTAAGTGGTGCGCAACGGATCCTTGCCGTGCATGATACAGCCCTGGCCATGGTTGGATCAGCCCATCTCGCACGGCTTAAGGCTTATAGCTCTAAGTTTGTGCATTTGATATCACAGCGCTTTGATCCCGCGTCCGGCTTTCGGCCGCCTAGCATCTCGGAGGCTCAACAGGCCGACTGTAGGATGTGGCAATGCATTTACGCGTTAGTCAGTGACAAAGGCTGGACACTGAACGACGCGCTCCACGAGTATACAGAAGTCAGAGGTGAGTTGAGTACTCTCCTGCAGGCTCGCCCCAAACCCGCACAGGTGAAAGGTTTGGAAATCATGGGTAAGGCAAGTTGGGTAAGATGATGGCCACAGCATTCGCATCAGGCGGAGGCAAGAACACCGGCAAGGGTAAGGGTAAGGAGAAAGGCCCAGGGGCTGGTAAAGGCAGGGATGCGAATGCGCCCGGTCGCCACATCAGCTTTGTGAAGGAGATCCAGGTGGGATCTGAGCGCAAGGGATTGTGTGTGCAGTGGCAAATGGGTCGCTGCTCGCGGGGTTCGGGGTGTCCCTGGATCCATGCCTGTGCCGGGCTGCTCTTTTTTTCGACCCCGAAATATCTTTTTTCAGACCCCACGCTTGGTCCATCTTGATTTCGACCCCGGCATGTCAATTTTTCCGACCTCCATCTTTTCTTCAGCCCCGCGACGAGGTCTAGAAAAAGAAAAAGCTCTTTTTTTCGACCTCCACTACGATTTAAACCGTCTTTTTCTCGGCCCCGAAATATCTCGTAACTGACCCCGTGTCTTTTTTCGGACCCCGGTGGATCTTTTTCTGGGCCTCTAATGTCTTTTTTCTGACCTCAGCAAAGACAGAAGCACGCACACATGACATATCAAACAACACAACAAAGAGCGCCACAATATGAACTTTGCAACGCAAATCGCACAAAAACTAACTTAACCACACTATAACTTCTGAAACACACACACAAAAAGAAGAAGAAGCACGAAAATCGCTTTTAGGGGCTGAAAGCGAACGAAAGAAATCAAACTGTGCTATCGAAAAAATATCAATCAAACGTTTTCCAACACGAAGGAAGGAGAAGCCACACGATATCGCAAAATAAGAATGAAAAATACAAGTGAAAACACACACACACACGACAAAGGATCTTTTTTCCGGCCTCCAACTTGTCTTTTTTCTGGCCTCTGCTTGGGGCCAAAAAAAAGATCAAAGTCTTTGTGGACCGCGGCTGTCGAACAAAAAGCAAAAAAGATCGCGTGGTCTTGAAAAAGACATCTCGGGGTCTGGAAAAAGAGCAGCCGGCCTGTGCCTACCCGCGCCAGGACGGGAGCGCCTGCACACGGCTCTGCAACACGAACAAACTCCGCACTGATCCTTGAAGCCCTGCCCCCAGCCCTGTTTGGACCCCACCTCAGCTGTTGGGTCCTCTGTTTCACCCGCAGTTCACTTTACTCCGGTTCCAGGTGGCATTTTGCCAGTGTCCACTGTAGGCTGTTCCCAGCAATCTGTAGGCCAAATTGGCCGGTCTGCTGTTTCGCTATTATATGGGGTTCTGAGCTTCCTGAGGCGGCAGCCGAGTCTCTCCTGGACTTGGCACGAACGGAGCAGTTCCTCCGGCAGATTTTTGGAGGTTTTGGGGTTTCGGGTTTTGGGATCAGGATATTTGGGTCTTGCAGCAAGGATTGCGAGGGGGCGCCGGGCAGGCACATACGGTTGTAAGGTTTAGTGTTGGCTGTTTGGGGTTCGCTGCTTCGGCTGCGGCGAGTCCGCGATGGCCTGAAGAACCAGACGGCGGAGAGAAAGCTCTCCAGACAAACCGTCGTGGCTCATTGCGGGATTTGCATCCGCATCATCATAGTCGTCCAAGTCGTCGTCATCATCATCGTTGCCGCCGGCCTCATCATCGTGTTCGTTCTCATTATCCTCTAATGTTGGTGAGTACAATATGAAGTGATGAGGAGGATGGTGATCAGCACAACGCCAGATAGTGTTTAGTTTCATTAACAAAGCATCAGCTGAATCCCGTCGAAGCATCCTTCCGAGGCTCGGAGTGCAAAAAGCCTTCGTGCGGGAGGCGCAGGGCAGGTGTCCAGGGGCGCTTTCGGCGGAGCGCACGACTGGGCAAGGCCATGACGACGCGCATGAAGGATGACAATGCAAAGGTGCGAGCCACTGCGCAGCCAGCTCAGAGGGATCGCAGCAACCCTATGCCGTCATGCCATGTCGTGGGTCGAGGTCCACCTGCCTGAACATGCTCAGCCTCCAAGAGGATGCTCTCTGCAGGCAGAAGCTCAGGCAGCGACACAAGGCAGGGGGCATTTTTCTGGTCTCAGCCTTTTCACATCTTTCCACTTGCATGTTTTCCAGCGGCAGGCAAAGAAGAAGATTGACACCACGCCCCTTGCCTGAACTCTGTGCGATTTATTCACAGAGGTCCGCTCGCTATCTCGACTGGTGATACCCTAAACTGCGAAGCTTGCCCTGACTGAACCATCGGAAACCCAAAACCCCGCTCCCCTAAACCCACTACAAGTGCCCAAAGCTCCCGAAGTTCCTGACACCCCCAGCTGCGGGGCACCCGAGGCGCGGTGAGCAGCCGGAGCTCGATGAGGAGGCCTTGGACGAAGAGGATATTGACATGCTCCGGGACAGCGTTCCTTGGCGTGGGTGGGGTGTGGGACATCTTCTGTGTTTATGTAGGCTTGCGCGGCTCACTGAGGTTCTGGAGCTGGAGGACATTGCCAGACTTGTGATTAATTTGACGAGACATGTGAGGGATTAAACTAGCCTGAAGACATCTTGTCTCAGAAGAAAGTGCCTTCGTTCCTGTCGAAGCTTGGCAAAGGGTCTTTTGCTGACCATCCCTGAAGGGGTTCTTCTGCGGTCAGGCACCAGCCATGCCTCTCGACATTTGCATTTTTCACTGTGCAGAACTGCACCCAACAAGAGCCGCGATTCCAAGAGTTTTATCCCCACTACTGCGAGTCTCGAAGCTCCATGCTGCTCGGGCCGGCCCTTGCCTATTTGGGTGGTTGTCAAAATTCTGGTCCCCTTTTTGGGACCCTAAATATAGTACGGGCACCCAAAAAGGGACCATCATTCTGACAACAGTCCATTTGTCTGTTGCCTGCTTCATCTCTGACAGAGAGAGTCGCAGGGTGGCTGTGGCTTGGGGACAATTTGCTGCTTCTTGCACGTGAATCCCCTTGCTGACCAGCTCCGGAATCTTACTGATTCCCTGTTTGAGAGCGGCTAGGGAATGTTCTACTTTCACTGGATCCCTCACCAAGAATTGTTCTTTTAAAGCCGCAGGCTTGCCGTTGTAAGAGACCCTAAACCCTAAACCCTAAAACCCTAAACCCAAAAACCACGGCAATCCCTGGCGGCCGCAGCGCGACAAGTCGATCCAGGCTCCGCCGAATTTCGTACATCCTGGCCCGAAGCCCAAAACTGGGTTCTCCTTTACAGTTACTTCGTAGTTCCCTAGACCAGGCAGTGCGCGGCTAGTCTGGACAGCTGCAAGACCGACCTGCCGGTGGCTTTTCAAACAGGTGACCCCAAAAGGTGCAGGGTTTAAGGGTTCAGGGTTTAAGGGTTTAGAGTTTGAGAGTTTAGGGTCTAGGTCGAATCTATTTTAATGGCTATCTGACTATCTGCGATGTTGTTACATGTCCTATTCCTTGTTGCCAGCGGTGGTAAGAGTAGCAGCATAGCTGCGCAGGTTCGTGATTCAATCCAGCCGCTGTGAGAGGTGTGCCAGTCCCTACCAGAGTGTGAGTCCGGATCCCAGATCATACTCGTTGCAAGTACTTTGAAAGTTCATACTCGGAGGGGCCTGAATTATTCTCCGCCTTCTGGCTGCTTCCTTGCAAAGCTTCCCAGCTCGATTGCAGGATCCTTCAGGTTCCGCTGCAATGTAACGATCCCTAGCTGGAAACCTCCTGCTTCCTTGAGGTTCTGGGTCTGGGGCCAAGAGGAGGGAGAACAAAAATGCTGGCGGTGGCCTCAGACTATTTGGAAGGTCTTGCAACACTGCATACATTTTGCATCATTTTGCCCGGGATGGCCTATTTTCCCGTTAAAGTTTTTCAGCGCTGTGATAGGCAAAGATCCGTTGACGCATGCCTGCAGTTTACAGGGAATCCCCACAAAAGAGTTAGACGGCGTGAGGGGGTAAATGAGTCGGATGGCTGTCGACAGTCGGGCCACTGCTGACTCTGTGACACATGAGCAAGCGCTAAACCATGACACACAACTTGCAGGATTTTGCGGGCTCAGGGCTAACGGCAGCAAAACTCACATAGACCACATGCCCTTACCGTGCGAAGTGGCCTCTTTTTTTGCAAGCGCCCTGTGCAGCTTCTCGTGAGCCCGTTTGTGCATGTTAGCATACTGGCTGTATGCTGTCCTTCTCCGCCAGCGGGCTCCTGGGGTGGATCAGCGCATCTTCTCCCATTTTTCTCAATGCGATAGAGATCGACTAAGCCTAAGAGCCCTACTTTTTGGATTCTTCCTGGAGCAAATTTAGCAGCATTTGTTGTGGGTCGAACCCCCAAAGAACCTTGGCCCCGCGAGGTTCAGACTGGGTGATGATGGCCGGGAAGCGGGCGAAGGCAGAAAGCTGACCCGAGAGCTTGCTGGGGCTTGCCAGGCGAGATGTTTACGGGTCTAGGGGTTCTAAGTGGAGGCATTTAGGGGTTTTCGGGAACCCGAAACCCTAAACTCGTTAGGGAACCCTAAGCCCTTTCAGGACTGAAAGTCTGTAGTTCTTGGCGCCGCCCACGGGATGCCGACGGTGCCCCACGGCAGTGAAAAGGGCTTTCAGTTCCGTAAGTTCCCTTTGCCAGGATGGATAAGTGGCGGCAGAGCCTGCCATCCCCCGGGGCAGCAGGCAACTGCCGGGCCGGCCTTATTGGGGTCTTCACCCTCTTGAGTCGCCTCCTTCAAACCCCCCGGATGCCAAACCCCTAAAGATCCCTTAAACCGACACTTTGGGGTTGAGACCTCGATATTTGGGCTTTCCCGTGCAGATTGAGCTCGCCAATCCCTTTGGAAGCTTTGCTCTGGATGCCAGCTGTCTACATGATGTCACGTTATTCACGAACTAGGTCTACAAAAGTATTCAGTACTCATGCAGTGGATGAGGCCATCGTCATGGGGAACGTGGAGTGCTGGATAGACGGCGGGCCTCCCAGAAAGGTATTGTCATGCCATAGCCTTGGATGCAATTGGCCTTAGCCCGAACGGATACGCATTGCACCAGAGATACCCTGAAGCATCGTTTTTAGTGCAGAGGTTTAACAGGCGAAATGGGAGTTTCCGAAAATAGGGGTACGAGTAGAGGTACACTAAATACTACCCCTAATTTTCGGAAACTCCCATATTGTCCAGGAAGACAGGAGTTGCTACACAAAGCTTTGATCTTGTGCGGCAGAACCCAACATCCTTCAATGCATAGTCGTGACCTCTTAGTGGTTTGGGTCGCTGATGACAGCCAAGGTTTCAATTATGACACATGCTGTGATCCGAAATTCGGTCCGAGTGGCAATGCCCAGTGCCGGCTCCTTATGGCGATGCCGAAACATCTGAATCTGATTGTGTTTGCAGTTGCCACGGTTGTTGCGATTGTGCGGTGATTGTGTTTCTTGTGGATTGTCAGCTGGTGCTGTGTCTTTGTGGTGGTTGCAACTGGTTGCAACTGGTGGCGCTGGTGGTGGTGCTGGTGGTGCTGGTGGTGGTGGGTTGGTGGAGTGCTGCTTCTGTCTTTGCTGTTGTTGCGTCGTTTTGTTTGGTTTTTGTCTAGCTTTGTTGCCCCTGCCCTATAGATAGCCCCTGATTCTGTAGTTGTAGTTATAGCTGTGGTAGGAGCAGGAGGAGTAGTAGGAGTAGCAGTAGTAGTAGTGGTAGTAGTAAATAGTAGTAGTAGTAGTAGTAGTAGTAGTAGTAGTAGTAGTAGTAGTAGTAGTAGTAGTAGTAGTAGTAGTAGTAGTAGTAGTAGTAGTAGTAGTAGTAGTAGTAGTAGTAGTAGTAGTTGCAGCAGGAGTAGGAGTAGTAGTAGTAGTAGTAGTAGTAGTAGTAGTAGTAGTAGTAGTAGTAGTAGTAGTAGTAGTAGTAGTAGTAGTAGCTGTGGTAGTAGTTGTAGCGGTAGCGGTAGCGGTAGCGGTAGCGGTAGCTGTAGCTGTAGCTGTACCTGTAGCTGTAGCTGTAGTTGTAGTTGTAGTTGTTGTGGTGCTTGTTGTTGTTGTTGTTGTTGTTGTTGTTGTTGTCATTGCTGTCGCTTTTTTCGTTGTAGTTGTAGTTGTCGTTTGCTGTTGCTGTTGCTGTTGCTGCTGCTGCTGCCAGGCTGGTCGCGGTGGTGGTCGTGGTGGTGGTGTTCTGGTGTCGTCGTCATTGTCGTCGTCGTTGTCGTTGTCATTGTCGTTGTCGTTCTCATCGTCGTCGTGGTTGTGGTTGTGGTTGCTGTTGCTGCTGCTGCTGTTGCTGTTGCTGTTGCTGTTGCTGTTGTTGTTCTTCTTCTTTCTTCTTTTTCTTCGTCTTATTGTTGCTTCAGCGGCTACTGGTGTTGTCGCTCTTTTGTTGTTGTTGTTGTTGTTGTTGTTGTTGTTGTTGTTGTTGTTGTTGTTGTTGTTGTTGTTGTTGTTACTGGCTGAGAGTTGTAGTGTTGGTTGTGTGGGTCGTGGCCACGCCGTCCGTATTGCCGCAATAGTTTGCGCTGCAGCTGCGGCTCTTGTCATTGTCGGCAGCAGCATGCTTCTAGATTCCAGCTTTTTTAGCAGCCTGCACATTGTCTGACCTTTGATCAGCTTAGTTGCATCAAGCTGTTGTTGCTCATGCCGATCTTGCCTTGCCGATGTGCATGCGTTCAGTGCACGGGTGCCATGCATGCATGTATCCTGTCACATCTTGTCATCATCGCTGTCACCATCGTCGTGAGCTTGAGTTTCAGCATCAGCATCAGCATCAGGATCATCATCAGCATCGTTATCTCCAGCAGCAGCAACAGCACCATCGCCTGCACCCGCATCAGCACCATCATCACCGTCGCTCTCATGACGACGTCATCATTGGCCCGCTCATCATCTTCCGTCGCAGTGAGACAGTCCCTCAACTGGCGTGCGTGCACAACCATCATCATCATCATCATCATCGTCATCCTCACATCGAGCCAGCATCCACATCACCATCAGCATGATGCTGGTCGTGATGGTGATGATGATCATCACCAGCCTCATCATCACCATGGTCATCTTCATCACCACAATCACCATGACCATCATCATCATCAGCGGGATTGTCACCAGCGTCGCCATCATCAGCAGCATCATTGTCACCATCATTATGTATAATCGTTACCAGCTGTATCATTACCATCGTCATCATCATTGTCATCATCATCATCATCATCATCACCATCATCATCATATTCATATTCATCTCCACGACGTCACAGTCACCACGAATCGGTTCGGACCACTGCGCATGGCGTAAGTGCTCTTGAGGTTGGGACGGTGTGTTCAACTACGACAGATGCTGCTTCCCGAAGGACTGGCATCAAATGCTAGCACGCTGGACGTGATGGCATGGCCTCTTCAGTATCTGGGGAGGTTTGGAGTGCCTGATTGTTGAGCTGGTTGGGCTAGATGGCAGATGCATGCATCGAATTGAAGCTTTCCCTCTGTCAAGAGATACCGGCAGTTCTCCAGACGGATCATCGCTTGAAGCATGATGGAGATCAGGCTCCAGGCAGGGAAATCTTTGTCGGCCAGGAATAGCCATCAACTAGGTTTGCAGTGTTTGCGAGGCACCCTTCTAACGACGAGAACATGAAGCCAAGCTTCACAGGCGCTCCAACAAACCAAAAACACGACAGGACGAGCTTTGAGGCCAAAGAGACTGACCCGTGGCCACCAGTGGCCTCAGACACCCGCGCAAAAGCCGCGCAAGGAGCTGAGCAGCTCCCTCTTCGCTTAAAGGTTTCACCCATGGGCCCTGAGCCTCCGGACCTTTAGGGCGGTTCAAAGGGTAATCTATTTGGGTGGTTGTCAAACTTAGGGTCCCTTTTTGGATCCCTATTCTAGTACGGCACCTATTATTTAGGGTACCCAACAAGGGACCCTAATTTTGACAACTACCCATATGGGAATTGTAGGACCGTAGGATGTAGAAGGACACGAGGGTTTAGGGGTTTAGGGTTTGTGGTACTTAGAGACCCTGACCGATTACTACGCTCGGCGAGAGCAAAACTCCGCTTGAAGTATCCGTTTCGGGGTTTAGGGTTTGGGAGTTTAGGGTTTGTGAATGATGCTATCATGCAGGGCTGGGGGGTTTTACAAGGAAGGCGCCGTGTGCATGGGCATGTGCAAGCCGGGGCTCACAGTATACGATAAGTCTGTGAGTCTGTGTGTGCAGACTGCATGACCAACAGACAGCCCAAGCAGAGTGGTACAACAGCTTTAGTGCTGCTATACTAAGCTGCGTCACTGCAGGTTCACGATTACAGCTTGCCAGCCTGATGTAGTGGATGGCTTCGGCGCATGCTGATCCATGCGACGGAGTGCAGGCATCCGCCGAAACCATGTTCACAGGCTTTGAAGGCTCTGGCATATGCGCATGATCTTCCATGACAGGCTCGGCATGCAGCCCCAGATCCAGGCGGCAGGCACAGGAAGCGGTTGCCGTTTGACTTTTTCGTCTGATCGGGTACATGGATGCAAGGAGGCAGCACGACGGAGATGCTCCCTCTTGGCATTCAGAGGCTCCCTGCAGCTTTCGGAATGATGACATGTTCAGCTCCCAGGTGCGGGAAGCGATCCCAGCTGCAGCGGCTCCATGAGATCCAGGCCCAGATGGCCCGTGGGCACAGCTTGAGCCCAGCCGCTGGAGTGGCACCCGCCGAGGCACCGGCCCAAGTTGTGAAATCCGCTCCCCAGTGGGAGGCAGCCGAGGCGTCACCCTCTCCAGACCCGGACCTGGTCCCTCCTCGACCTTTTTCCTTTCCCCCTTCTGCCCCAAGTGGCCCCAGCTTCCCGCGCTTCCCAAGGCCACAAGCCATGGCCCCCATAGCCGTGGCGGCCCCCCGGTCCGAGTTCTTGAGACATTTGCGGGAGTTGGAGGCGGATCTGGAGCTGGCCCAAAGCCTGAAGATGAGGCTTCCCCCCGCTCTGACGCAGCGCATCCGACGACTTCCGATCCGAACCGGGCTCCTCAAAGAGGCCTGGGCGGCCTGGGACCCTGAAGAGGAGGCGGCGGCCTCCTTGGCTTCGGTGACTTTGGATCTGCCGCCCCCCCTGTCCCCCAGAAGCTTCCACCTCAAAGACAGGAGTGTTGCTTCAGCTCAAGAGCAGGGAGGGACAGGAGCCCTAGGGCTGGGGCTGGACCTGCAGATGGCATTGGAGAAGGAGGTGCGTGCTCCTCTGAGGGAGCTGCAGCTCGTGCTTGAGCAGGTCAAGGCCAGGCAAGATCACCTCCAGAATTTTCTGGAGTCTCGTGAGTCTCGGTCGGCAGACGTGCAGTCTGCAGAGGGGAGCCGGTACCCGAGCCCAAGCCCCGTGAGAAGCGGGCGTGACCGGATGCCTTCCCCAGAGCCGCCACAGCCAGCTCCGAGAAGCTTTCAGCCCGTGGACACAGCT